GGTGTTTCATTCTCTGAGCTGGTTGTTTTTGTTGTGAAGCTTTCATTTCTGTTCTTCTTCTGAACAACATCATCAGCACAGACTTCAGATAGGAGAAGTGAAGAGTATTCGAATTTCTCAACAAGCCACGGGTCAAACATGGAGAAATTCGAATACTCTTCACTTCTCCTATCTGAAGTCTGTGCTGATGATGTTGTTCAGAAGAAGAACAGAAATGAAAGCTTCACAACCAAAACAACCAGCATCTAATTTAACTGATCATGACTCACCACTTCATCGATTGATACGCCATTACTACCTAGTACTAGTTTCCTAACGAAAGCATTGCTTACTCGATTGTCCCATTATATTATATGAGCAATGATCAAATACTAGTCACCTACAAATATCCTATATAACACATATACGAGTATATATATGTATTTTATATATTTGTGAATTACTTCTTTTCACACATTTGAAATTATCGATCAATGATTGTTAGACCACCATTAGAAATCCACAAGCACTGGACGGCCCTTTCGTCCTCGTATGGGACTCATCAGCAGTGCGCATCCACGACTCCTGCTCCTCGCAGGATTCGAACCCGGGACCTTCGGCATTGTAGGCGAACGCCTTACCATCGGACCACTGGGCGGGCATCCAGCGGTGTTAATGTCTAACTCTGATCGATCTAGGGATTTTGAGAGACTTCACCCAATTGTGTTTGGTAGTTACTGCCTACAGTCGACAGGGTTGAACTCCATTGATCACGTCTTCTCAACTAGAACTCCGAGAATTTCCTCACGAAGCTAGTCACTAGTGAGCACTGTTACGATATTTTGGGACAGTTTTGGAGGTTTGTGTTTTTACACATTTGGAATCATCATACCAGGACGAAACGGCCGTCTAGTGCTTCCAGGTTTCTAATGATGTTGTGTCTAACAATGATTGGTTGATAATTTCAAATGTGTAAAAACGCAAACCTCCAAAACTCTGCCCAAAATACTTCTTTTCAATTAGTTTGTCTTTATGCCGACATATCAGTTGTTATCCCACAATTGATTTGTCTCGATTTATTGTTGATTAAGATTTAAAAAACAGCTAAAATCTTGAATTCAGGTTAAAATATCACAAAATAAATGGATTCCGGTATTTGTTCAAAATGATAACATTAACGATATTATTATTATTATTGTACTAGTTTGTGTGTGTGTGTGTGTAATAGTTTAAAGACATTGCTTTTGTCTTGTTGTTTTATTTTTCTCTGTGTGTTTGTTTATTTTTTGAATAAAATAAAATACACTTTTTTTTTCCTACACCTGTCTGTATTGAACATTTTTTGTTTTAAATAATAATTATGTCATATTTATTTATTATTAATAATGAGTTGTTTAAAAGGAATGTGTATTTGCGCGCAAAATTTACTGTTCAATGTGTTAGTTTGTTTGTTTTTATTGGCAATAAATGTTTTGTGAGATAGTAGTACCATTTCGTGCTTTCTCATCAGTCACAACATACAAGCAACATGTTATTTGTGTAAATACAGCAGTTTTGAAGATAAGGTCGAAATTTCTTATTTAGCATGATATTCACTCACTAGAACCATGATAAACAAAGGTCAACATACAGTTGTTTTTGAACACATAAAGTTAGACTTTTCCGACCAATCAAGATAGCTTCGAGTAGTTTCAGTGTGTTTGTGTGGGTTTTGATGACATATCACAACTCTAAAGGCTGATTTTGGGTCAATTTGATGACCACTCATCATTAGATGTTTTGCAATGGACGAGTCTGGGTTTCTTGATCGATTTTGAGATGACGGGCTAGGTTGATGAATCATGGATTTGATTAACCATTTTGGAATATGTTCCCCTATCCTGTCTACCAGTCGGTGATCTGTCCTCCCTAAGTAACTTTCTCTGCAGTTACATGTGAATTGGTGTAAATACAGTGGGATTTGGACTGAATCGGTCTTGGAGACATGATTGGGGTAACTGAGATCGATTGGGTTGTTGTGATAAGCCTCAGATTAGCTGCATTGAAGGTCTTTTTTATTGCAGCTGCAGTCTGTTTGGTTGTAATTTTCATGCAATGATCATCTTTGAAAGGTAACTGTAGGTACACTGGTTTCTTGGGTACATCAGTTGCTATCATCTTCGTCATAGTTACTTTAGATACATTTGTTGTTCAGTGCTTCCAGGTTTCATATAGTAGTTAGTTGTCTAACAAATAACATGTTGCTTGTATGTTGTGACTGACGAGAAAGCACAAAATGGTACTACTATCTCACAAAATATGTCTTCTTATTTCTCTATTCAAATTTATCAAAGGGAACCACTGTTTTGAATAAATGTTTTTTTTATTATTTTACTATTTATTATAAACTGAGAGAATATTTCAAGTATTTTAATAAAAAAAATGTATATTTTTGATCTATTTAATTCATTAAAAAAAAAATTGAACAATTGATCATGATAGGGATTCCACTACCCCTAACTCAGGTGGTCTCATTTGGTCGAAAAATGAAAATTTCGGAAATTACGAAATAAATCATTGCCCGACATGAGACAAAGTGTAATAGAAGTGTTTGTGCCTATTTGCATCACGCTGAGCTGCTTCTTCTACTATCCTACGCCATATATGTGTACATCATATGCTATACTGCTATATAGAGCTGAAGGTTTCCTAAGAGATCAGAAGTTCACTGTGAACATTGTGGATGGCTTGGCTTTGCCTCGGTAAGCATTGTTAACGGTCCATATACAAAAGTGGTTAGCAGGACGACCGATTTCATTGATATAGGTGGTTGTTTTGCGACATTCCCGTAGGTCATTGTCATTGGAGTGCTGTATTACATATAACCATTGCTAATAATAATGATGAGTATGACAGTCATGTAAGCGGGATGGGTCGTAAATGGCCTGTTTCATGTGGTGCATACTGATTGACGCGATCATAGATCGGAAATATATATGTACCATTGTGTGTATATGAAATGGTGTGAATGGTCCACCAGAGGGTATCAGGTACCTGTGTGGTTGCAAAACAGGAGTGAGCCGAACTGTTGCTGTAGTAATGATGGTAAAACGTGTCCAGTCTCTTTGGTTCTCCTGAAAACCAATGTAAAATTGCTTTTGACAATACAGGGTAAATTTATATAATTGTGAATTGATCATGATAAGATTGAAAATAAATTATCACTATTCTATTTGATTGTTGAATTGTGAAGTTGTCATTTTTTTTGAAAGCTTCTTTATCACTTCAAATAACTGATATTGTGACGTCTTATGATAATCATTATTTTGCATTACGGGGATTGTGAAGATTGTTGTTAAGTTACACATTTTTTTTGAAACCATGAATCCATCAACGTTAGACCACCACTATTAGAAACCTGGAATTTGATCAAGTTAGACATGAACACCATTAGATACCGGCCCAGTGGTCTAACGGTTAGGGCGTTCGCGCACAACACCGAAGGTCCTGGGTTCGAGTCCTGCGGGGTGCAGGAGCCGTGGATGCGCACTGCAACTGATGAGTCCCATACCAGGACGAAACGGCCGTCTTTCCGTGCTTCCAGGTTTCTAATGGTGTGAGTCTAACATTGATCGATTCATGGTTTCAAAAAATCATTATTTTGTATTGAAATTGAAATATTTAGACTTGTTGTGATTCTCTCTTATTATTATTACAACCCTAGCTATATTCTCTAATGATTAGTAATATTCTCGGACATCAATTCACTCGAAATGTTCTCCCTCAAAATCAGAACATAGTTGAACTGGAAATGGAGATTATATTCTAATGACAAGATTAGATGGAAGACAGAAGATTACAAAAGTCTGTTCGTCCGATTTCTGCAAGTAGCGACAGTCGTGGATGCGTACTGCGGATGAGTCCCATACCAGGACGAAACAGCCGTCCAATGTTTGTGGATTTCTAATGATGATCTAACAATAACTCATTGATGATTTCATTAATTGAATCTGAATTATTTACCCATTTGTTTATGTTTTGATTGTGTCATCTGTGATTTGATTATTGTCATGACAAATGAGAGATCATCTTTGATCTTTGGCTTTTGCCAACCTGCATCACTTATGGCGTAGGCGAGATATCCGCTTGCTAACCAAAGGACGAGTGTACTGCGCAGCAGTTCGCTCCGTCCAACTTTGTCGCTGTGAAACATGGCTGTTATGAGTAGAGAACATTCGTAGGTTACTGGTTTTCGATCATAAGTGTCTTCGAAGCATTGCTCGTATATTGTGGGACACACGAGTGAGCAACGCTGTTATTAGGAATCGGGTGCTAGGTAAGATCAATAGACGAAGTAATGAAACTTCATCAGTTGAGGTGGTTGGGACATGTGTTGCATATGCCTAACCACCGACTGCCTCGTCGAGCTTTGTTTTGTAGTGTAGGAATAGGTTGGAAGAAAGTTGAGGGCGGTCAAACCAAAACATAACAGAAATCCATGAAATCATTGACAAGTGGAGTGAGTCATGTTGGTAGATGTAGACTACCTGGTTGCGGTCCACGAGATGATAATAATCGATGATTAGAGACCTTGAATGACATGGCTCAAAATCGTTCGCAATGGCGACAGTGCATTTATTCTTTGTGTTCTCTCAAATCCTAATCTTCTGGATTCTTCAACACTTCTGGTTTTGCCTTTCTAAACTTTTCTCACTGAATCATACTTCTTGAATAATATCTTCTAATCCTAACCTCTCGGATTATTTCTAATACCTTTACTACCTCTACTACTGTTGGATTTGAATTGACAATTACATCTCTATACTGATGTGGTATGGCGACATGAACTGATGTACTTACATACGAAGTTCTACGTTGCATCTGACTGACTGACTGACTTTGATACTTTATAATGAATGCTACATATAAAATAAACTCATTAAATTTAATTTATTCTCAATAAATCAAATAATTTTTCGTCGAATAAATTCAACAATATCATTTAAATCTATTTAAATGAATTATTTTTTTTTGTATCCTAGTGTATGGAAGCACATGTATTTATTTGTAGAACATGGACACCAACAATCAATAATGATCATACATATCAATGGCCTTGTTACACAGAAGAAATGCATCCAGCTTGGTTTCCACTCAATACAATGAATAAAGATACTATTACTACTACTACTACTACTACTACTAATACAATGAATATATTCAATTTACCATGGAATCATATGTGGCCTGATGATTGTTTATGGTTGCCTGAAATACTTGAAGGTAGACTTATTCTTGCATGGTTTCATTATCTTCCAATTTCTAATTCATCCAGTGTGAATAATGAAAATCTAATTGATTGTTCAACAGAAACAAATGGTATCTTAATTGATCTATATGAAATACCAGCTTATCATTTAGAATCATTTAATACTACTACTACTACTCCTACTACTACCAATGATTCAAATCAATTATTATCTATTGATAAAAATGTAAGTTCTATGTGTGTGTGTGTGTGTTTATGCGTGTGTAGTTTGTGATTGGTTAATTTAGCATTTTTGTTATGTGATTGAAATTATTATTTTAATAGTTATGATAGTGATAAACTCAAACCTGGAGTCATTCTAGGGGTTACTACTGGTCCCAAACCCGGATAAAGGAGGCTAGGCGTGTGCACGAAAGACCAAAGGTCCTGGGTTCGAACCCTATGAGGAGCTGGAGTCGTGGATGCTCACTGTTGATAAATTCCGTACCAAGACGAAACGGCTGTCCAGTGATTCCGGGTTTCTAATGGTTGTCTAACAATGATTGATTCATGGTTTCAATGTGTCATTTAGGAGCGTTGGGCATGAGGTTAGCGGCCCGATCCCGTATAAATCCAACTCGTTGAAAAAACGCTGTAGTGAAGGAGAACACAGGTGAGGGCAACCGAATTATATTTATTGCGAATTACAGAGTTACTCAGTAAAATAGGAAAACCATATCGTAAGCGATTAATTTGCAAATCTTCAATCCATCATCCATCGATTGTCTGACATTTCACTATTCATGCGTTTCATACAAATTCCATTGTGTTCCCACTCTTCCTTTCTTGATCTTCCCTCATCTTCTGCTGCCAGACATTACGTTTACACTCGCGTCATATACTATTTATAAGTAGCGCGCACCACAGATTCATGGTTTTAATGTGTAAAGTAGGAGCGTTGGGCATGAGTTTAGCGGCCCCATCCCGTATAAATCCAACTCGTTAAAAAAGCGCTGGTCGCTGGCCTATGCTCTATTTGGGGGTTACAGGAGTAAGTAAGTAATGGTAGTAGTAGGTTGTAGAATGCTCCACTTAGAGTGACTGGCGTAAGACAGAGAGAGAAAGAGCTATGGTAGTAAGGATTTCGTATAAATAATTTTATGATTCATAGCCTTGACTTCTAATCTGTGAGATTAATTGTTCAAACTTCATTTGATCTGTTTTTAATTCCGATAACTCTGACATTAAATTTCATTCATCGTGGTGTAAATGAACTTGTAACTAACTAGTTTATGGTTAGCGTTTTTTTAGCGAGTTCGATTTTTTCTGTGATGGGGTCGCCAACCCCACGCCCAACTCTCCTTTACCCGTGCTCGGGACCGGCAATAGCCCAAGAGGGGATCCAGGTGGATTTCACTAATTTATGTGCTTAATTTATTTTTATGGTTGTACAACAGTATGTTTCTGATATACTCGCAACTATTACGAGGTCACCGTACTCGGTAAGCGGAACGAAGAGCAATGCCTCAGTGGCACGATAGGCTATTCAAATCCTGTTAGGTTCGTCACTAGGTACGCTTGAAGCCAGTACGAGTTCACCTTAGAAAATAAACGAGAATGAGACGATGAACCAGCGTCCAGGTAGGCTAGCGTGATCCCAAAACTGCAAAACACAAGTCTTGATAAGCGTAGAAAGTATATTCTACAAACACCCAGCAAGCACAATGCAATCAAGCACATAACTCTCGTTTATTTATACATCATAGAAACGTCGTTGGGACAGTCACAAAAATAACACACTAAAATACACAGCAACCAATCACATCCAAGGATTTTCCTAGTGGGAAATGAAATCTCAAGGTCAACTGATCAGCCCATGTTGGCAAACTTGAAATCCAAAATAAGGCACTTATCAAGCGAGTTCTGGGTATCTAACATCCCCAACAAATCCAATTGTCCCCAACCCTGCTAACTAGAGCATGAAGTCTTGATAAGGCGTAAAGAGTGTATTCTACAAGCACTCAGAAAATCGGAGGTTGCTAAGCACACAAATCAAGCTTAAATATACAATGATAGAAGCGTCGCTGGGAGAGCTACAAATATAGCGTACTAAAACAATCCATTAACCAATGACAGTCAAGGGAATGGGAAATGCAAACTGAAGTTTAACTAAGCGTCTTTTTGCAGCGAAAACATAAAAAATTCAAAATTTCAGAATAAATGTTAGGGATGTTAGATCCCCAAAACTCGCTTGTTAAATACCTTATTTTGGATTTCACGTTTGCCAGCATGGGCTGATCAGTTGACCTTGAGATTTCATTTCCCACCAGGAGAATCCTTGGCTGTGATCGGTTGCTGTGTATTTTAGTGTGCTATTTTTGTGACTTTCCCAACGACGTTTCCATGATGTATAAATAAACGAGAGTCGTGTGCTTGATTGTATTGTGGTGGCTGGGTGTTTGTAGAACATACTTTCTACGCTTACGAAGCCTTCTTACATTATTTGGGGATTCAAGGTAGCCTACCTGGACGCTGGTAATTGTCTCGTTCTCGTTTATCGACTAAGGTGAACTCGTAATAGCTTCAAGCATACCTGGTGTCAAACTCTACAATAAAATTATAAAATTAGGATCTTTTTGCAAGTGAATTCCAGAGATCTCACACATCCCCAACTTTATGTGCTTAATTTATTTCTATGATTAGTACAACAGAAATGTTTCAATCCATTATAACTCTTTTCACTTGTCGTTTATGATTACGCTATGAGATCAAATTATAAACGACGAGTTGTCATTTTGTTTTTTCAATATCAAACTTATTTAAATTGAAAAAAATTTTCATTTTTTAAATGATTCGTTTAAACAAACAAATAAACAAACTGACAAACAAAAATGTAAATTATACATTGACAACTTTTAAAATATCAGATTTTACCACTAGAGATAACTTGATTTTACTTTATAACCAAACATTGATGTCCAATTACGAAAAAAAAAATTGAATCGTTTTTTGTTTTAAATTGTGTGTTTTAACTTGTCAATTTCAAATCAAAATTCATTTATTTTTTTGGGCGGGGGTGGGAAATTCATGTTATTTTGAAAATGTTGTGAACATTTCAATTTGTCATTGATTTTATTGATTTGTTTGTTTTACTGCACGTTTGTATGTTTTTCTTCCTTGCTGTTATTGTTTTTACAGAATCATTCAAAATTCTTGTGTACTACTACTACTACTACTACTACACTTCAACAAATTATTGATCTGTTCGAATTAGACACAAGTGATCATCAATTACGGCTATGGATGAGTTCATTGTTGTATAATACTACTACTACTACTACTACTACTAATAATAATAATAATAATAATAATAATAATAATAATCATGAATCTGATGTTATACAACAACAACAACCACTAGCACTACTACTCCCTTCAATCACTCACAAAATTCTACATCATCCATCTTGTTAGAAGAAGAAATTGGAAGCAAATTTAACTCGGATTGGCTTTTCTCACTTTTTTTTTAAAAAATCTGAATATTCATCAAAATAAATCAATAATAATAATAATAATAACAGTGATGAGTATTCATCAGACAATGAATTGATTAATTTTCTAAAAAAATCCATATTGTCATTCAATGATTGATTGACTGATTGATCGATTTTGATTTTCTTACAAGTGAGTATTCGTCAACTAATGCATGGTTGACTTGATTAATTTTCTGAAAAAAATTCATATTGTCATTCAATGATTGGTTGGTTGGATTTTCTTACAATATCAAAAACAATATTTTTTTATTCTATTTAAATTCTCATATAAAATGTATTAATCAATTTTATTTTAATTTGCTTTGTTTGGGGATCATTGAACAGAAAGTAAGTATGTATCAATTTATAGTGTGAGACTGGTGGGGAAGGGGATGTTAGATCCCCCAGAATTCACTTGGAAAAAGGTCCTAATTTTGGATTTTATGTTTTTAGTGTGTGGGATGATTAGTTGACCTTAAGATGAGATTTCTCATCTGGGAAATCCTTGACTGTCATTGGTTGATGTATTATTTTAGTACGCTATTTTTGTGGCTCTCCCAAGGACGTTTCTATCTTGTATAAATAAACTCGATTTGTGTGCTTGTTGACCTCATATTATCTGGATGCTTGTAGAATACACTTTTTACGCCATATCAAGCAAGACTTCTTGATCTACTTAGTGGGACCTTGGGACACTCGGATTAGAGTAGCCTATTGTGTCACTGGATCATTTATCTTCACTCTCGTTTACCAACCAAGGTGAGCTCGTAATAGTGATGTATGTATTTGAATCTGTCGTATATGTTCACATTTAGTTAATGATTGTTTATCGTATAGTAGTGATCTCGAAACTATACGTGTTAGGAGATCAACTAAATTTTTATTAGTACATGTTTTACTACTTCAAAGTCGAATATGGTTAGATGTAATATATATATATATATAGAGGTCATCTGTCACTTTTCAACATGTCTCCATTTCAGTTGACTACAGACTTATGATAATAAATTAGTTGACTAGAGTTTGTTACATCAGTCGTAAGCAGCATTGGGTGTATGTATGTATGTTACTTACTTACTTGCTAGCGCCTGTTGCTTCCAATTGGACATATGCAGCCGACTAACCTACTCTGTCTTGGTCCTTCCTCTCTAGTTTTGTCCAATTGCTATTCATCCTCTTGATGTCTGCTTTCAAGCATCGATGCAATTTGTTCTTTGGCCTTCCTGTTTTCCTTTGACCTTGAGGATTCCAAGGTAGGTCTTGTCTTGTGACGCAGTCCCACAGTATGTGTACTATCCACTTCCAGCGCTTCTTACTGATTTCTTCCCCTGATGGAATCTGGTTTGTTATCCCACAGCAGATTGTTGCTGTTAATGACTGGCCAGCGGTCCGAAATATTGTACGTAGACAACTGTTAATAAATACTCGTATCTTTCGGATAATAGCTTTTGTGGCTCTCCAAGTTTCCACCCCATTCAGTAGAACTGTCTTAACATTTGTGCTGAAGATTGTGTTTGTCCATAGTTGTTTTGATTTCCAAACGATCTTATGTTGTAGAAATGATGACTTTACTTTGCCGATCCAGTCAGTTACAACATAGAACTTCGTACTTATGTACATAACTTCAAGTTGCCATACCACATTATCACGAAGACGCAATTGTCAGTTCGAATCCCATAGTAATGGGGAATATTAGGGTACGCAGATATTATTCATGAGAAAGATAAAGATGAGCAATTCAGAAACTTAGAATTTCATAGAACATAAAGAAAGGATGTAGTTGCGCCAATGCAAACGATTTTCAGCCATGTCATTCAAACTCTCTAACCATCGGTTACTATCACCTCGCGGACCCCAACCAAGGTAGTCTACACCTGCCAACATGACTCAGTCCACTTGTCAGTGACTTGATGGATTTGTGCCATGTTTTGGTTTGGCCACCCGTAGCTTTATTTCAACCTACACCTACAGCGCAAAACATCCGCGCCTTCATATCTGCATCAGATCCACCGTGTTCATCAATGATGCTGACCAGATATATAAAGGTTTTCGCATCCTCCAAAGCTTCTTTGTGTGTTGTATCCGAAATGCTTGTTAATACAATTTATTAAATGATGTTTACTTAAAAATAAAATTAAGTAAAGAAATGAAATAGTGTTAAAACTTGATGTTTAGTAGAAAATTATATATGAATATATCTTCACTACTACGACTAGTTTTATATCACCTACAATCTTCAACTAGAAATTATTAGTACTTCATACAGTTTAACGGGAACATACAGTATTATGAAACTAGGTTCATAAACCGTACAAAATCATTTACTAACATAGAGATTTTCTCAGTATAACTTAGTAGAAGAGAATACCCAAAACTGCATGACATCAGATTTCAAAAAAGGGGTTTTACTGAAACCGTTAATTATCCATCTTATCAATGATGTTCATAATATGAAGCTCATTATGTTGTGTATTTTGTATTGTGGAAATGTTAAGAGATGAGAAATTCAAGTTTTGGCTGAAAAATTCTATCACTTATTGTTAGTGAATAATAATTCATAACTCAACATGGTTTTCTATGTTTTGAGAGTTTAAAACATTATTTTAGAAATAGTTATTTCGCAGTTGGTTGATTATTCCATCCATAAAAATGTATTCTCGTTTCTTCAGTATACAAAAGTCTATTCTTAGTTTATAAAAATAATTACATTCTATTTAAAATCTCTGAAAATTTACACTTGTACATCTTTAACGGCTCAATCAATGGACTCCAATGTAAACGAATGATTGAGTGTACAAATGAAATAAATCTTCCTGTCCATTTCCGTTTATCATACTTAGGCAAACCCCGTTTGTGAGACGGTGGCAATAGGAAGCTAAATACTGTTTCACGGATGAATTTATTTCCTAACATTCCTCTATGCAGATAAACATAAGAATGGAAAACGTACAAGCAAAGTCGAGCGAATTGGAGAAGGCTAGCGAGCCAACTCTCCAGTGTTGAAGCAATAATAACTATGTATTTATATAGTCAAGTAATAATAAGTTAAACAGGAGGAGATAAGCGAGTAATCACCGACACACAATCCAATATACTAAAATTGAATTATTACAAATATAATAAAAAAATGGTCTATACATTTATCGAATAATATTTAAACGATAAATCATTAAAGTACTATCAATGAATGAGTGAATGAATGCTAAAATGTTACACATCATTCAATAATGCAAGCTTTTTAATTGAATATAACTATAATTTTGAAGCTGATCTAGACAGTAGATTGTAGAACATGTGTTTTATTTTGTCTGGGACTCATCAACTGAGTATAACTGCATCCTTGTGTTGATATTCGTACCTTAAAAATATTTTTAACTGTTTTCAATATCCACACAATATATAAATATACCAAACGAGGTTGAGTACTTACGATCCTCACTACTCAGTCAGTTAAAATGTAGAACTTCTTACGTACGTAAATAAGTTGAGGTTGCCTTACCACATTGGCACAGAGATACAATTATCACTTCAAATCCGATAGTGGAAGAGATAGCAGAAATATTACTGGTAATCGAGAAGATGAGGGATTGAAGATATGATTCGAAAAGTATCATTCAGTGAGATAAATTTAGAAAGAGAAAGAAAGAGGTGATGACGAATTTAGAAGATTAGAATTTGAGAGAACACAATCAGTGGATGCACTTACGCCGTTGCAAATGACTTTGAGTCATGTTGTTTAAGGTTTATAACCATCGGTTACTATCGTCTCGCGAACCCCAACCAGTTAGTCCTCACCAGCTACAACAGAAATTTTTAATTCGGTCGATCAGTTCAGGTCGCCATACCACATTAGCACAGAGACGAAATTGTCAATTCAAATCCCATAATAGTAAAGGTAGTAGAAGTATTAGCAGCAATGGAGAAGTCTAGGGTTCGAAGTTATTATTCAAGATAAAGTGATGAGGAATTCAGAAGGTTAGGATTTAAGAGAACACAAAGATTGAATGCACCAGCGTCATTGCAAACGACTTTGAACCTCATTGTTCAAGGTCCCTTACCATCAATTACTATCACCTCGCTAATCCAAACCACATAGTCCTCATCAGCTACAACAGAAAGTTTCAATTCAATTGAAATGTATACAAATACATGGTATTTTCACAAAACTTATCATAAACATTTTAATGCTTCAACATCAGAAGCATAAAACAACAACTGTCTATCAATTTTTGACTTCATTTTTTTCTTCTACAAAAACTTATTGATTTATCATTTAACGATCAACAACATCAAAACTGTTACTTTGTTTTTTTACTTACATTTATGAAATAATTTTGTGTCAATTTTTACAAATATGTGTATATTCATTATTTTCATCCTTATTCCTTTAATCTAAAGTGTCATTGCACTTAACTCACAGCATGTATTTTAATGATTATTCATCCAGTAAAGTGTTATTCTTCATAATTTTCTTTCAATTATTGTCAACATTGTAATATCCAACTGAGTGAATATTTATTTGTACAACAGTTAAGTAAGTATCATTGAACATTTGTCTGATAACCAATTTTTTCAATCGAATGATTGTACAGTTTTATTGTACTCTGAATGATCTTATTGTGTTCAACTACTTCTACTACTACAAGTGTTCATCATGTAACGTTGTATTGTTATTCTTAATTTTTACTAGGGTTTTGTGGATATTTCTGTGTTTCTGTACAGAAGTATACAAAAATCAGTCGATTGTATAAGAGAAATGTGTTTATTCATGTTAATCGATCAATATTATTTCTTAAATAAACGAGTTGAATAAGTACTTTATAATTGAATGTTAGTCAGTATTTTTTTCTATCTTTACAAAGATTATTTCCATTTTGATAAGCGGAGATGAATAGTGGCTAGTAGTGGAGTTCAGGATACGTGTTTTGTATGCTGTTATGA